CCCCCGCGCCCGTCCCGGAGGCGCCGCCCGGGGGTCCTAGCGCCGCGGGCTCGGCCATCGTCCCGCGCCCCGGGCCCGGGAACCAGGCTGGCCACGCCCAGATCACCTGATCACTTGATCCACACCCCGAGGACCTTGACCGGGCCACGATCGCCCCCGCCACTCACGTCCACAGAAGCAAAGATAAAAGACGGGGTGGAGGGAATGGAAGCCGTCACGTGACGCGACACCCACGTGACCCCGGGCACACATGACTTCCAGTCTCCCGGCGCCTCCCGGACAGCAAGGACGCAGGGGAGCCGAGGTGAAGCCTCCGGGGCTGGAGGGGTCCCCGGGGCTGGACGGGATCCCCGGTGCCGGGGGCGGCGGGCGGCGGCGCGGGAGGGCCGGGGAGCGGGTCACCAGCCGCTTTCCTCTGCAGATGGTCCGAGCCGCGCTGCCGCCGCCGAGCCTGCTGCTGCCGCTGCTGCTGCTGCTGCCGTGCTGGGCGCCCCGAGGCCAGGCAGCCCCCGACCAGGACGAGATCGAGTGCCTCCCGGGGCTGGCCAAGCAGCCGTCCTTCCGCCAGTACTCCGGCTACCTCAAAGCCTCGGGCTCCAAGCACTTCCACTACTGGTCTGCGGCCCTGGCTCCCGGGGCGGGCGGCGGGCGGCGGGCGGCGGGCGGCGGGCGGGCGCTGGTACTCGGCGGAGCGCGGCGCCGGGCGGAGGGGTTCTGAACGGCGGCGAGCGCCGGGGGGACCCCTCTGCCGGACGCACTAACTCCGCCCTGACCCTCCCCAGGTTTGTGGAGTCCCAGAAAGATCCGAAGAGCAGCCCTGTGGTCCTTTGGCTCAACGGGGGGCCCGGCTGCAGCTCCCTGGACGGGCTTCTCACCGAACACGGCCCTTTCCTGGTGAGTGGATGCCGCTCCCCCCCCCCCCACTCCCGCCCACAGCCCCGGAGGGAAGGAAGGGACAGCTTTCCAGGGAAGAAGCTGGGGAAGGGGAAGACAGACGTTTTCCTTCTTCCTGAGCCTTAGAGAGAGAGAGAGTCTGTCTGTCTGTCTCACACACGCACGCGCCGGTCCTGTGCTTGAACGCAGGGTTAGGGCTCTGTCCTTGAGCACTTTTTTTTTTTAATGCCGGTCCTGGGGCTTGAACTCAGGGCCTGGGCACTGTCCCTGAGCCTTTTTGTGCTCAAGACTAGCACTGTACCACTTGAGCCACAGCTCCACTTCCAGCTTTTTGGTGTTTGATCAGAGATAGGGAGTCTCATGACTTTTCTGCCCAGGCTGGCTTTGAACTGTGATCCTCAGTTCTCAGCCTCCTGAGTAGCTAGGACTATGTAGGACTGTGGGCGTGAGCCACCAATGCCTGGAAAGCCTTAGTATTGTTTTCATCTCTCCCTCTCAGGGTTTTGCCCGTGTAAGGGGCCTGGCATAACCCTTCCCTTCATTTGTTTGGCCCTTGGGACTCACTCAGCTGTGTCTTTCTTCCTCAGATCCAGCCAGATGGTGTCACTCTCCAGTACAACCCCTATGCTTGGAACCTGGTATGTGGGCCTATGAGGGTGTCTGAGTACTTGAATGGAATGGGGAGCCCTCTTCAATGCATTTCTTCTTCCCCCACTAGATTGCCAATGTGTTATACATTGAATCCCCCGCTGGTGTGGGCTTCTCCTACTCTGATGACAAGGTTTTTTCCACCAATGACACTGAGGTAAGTCTAAAGCCTGTCCAAGCTTCTTGGTTCTCCAAGGTAGCAGGGATGAGGGGACAGGCAACATGGTCTTGGAGTCTACTGTTGGCCCCATTCCAAGCTATATGATATGGTCATAGCCAAGTCACTTCCTCTTGCACAAACTAGGTGTGTTGTTCTCATTTTCTGTGAGGACCTGAGGTCAAATACCAGACCTGATTCGCTCCTTTTGCTATCCCCAGGTAGCCCAGAGCAATTTTGAGGCCCTCAAAGACTTCTTCCGCCTGTTTCCGGAGTACAAGGACAATAAACTTTTCTTGACTGGCGAGAGTTATGCTGGCATCTACATTCCCACACTGGCCGTGCTGGTCTCGCAGGACGCCAGCATGAACCTTCAGGTACAGAAGGGAAGGGAGGCACCTTGCGGTATAGATTTGTACTTAGCAAGGTCACCTGATCAGCATACACATCAGCCTAGTCTTCTTCATGGCTGCCCGGTCTCTGTTTGCACACCTCCTACCACAGGAGGCTCACCTGTCAAGCTACCAGCTTGGTTTTTCAGATGGAGTAGCCACATCCACCCCCACAAACCACCCTGCCTTTCAGCTACCAGATTGCAGAGGATCTAGATGTAGGTCAAGGGTGGTTCCTACTTATCCCACTCTCCGGGTGAACTGATGGCCTGGGTGTTTCACAGGGGCTGGCTGTGGGCAACGGACTCTCCTCCTATGAGCAGAATGACAACTCGCTCGTTTATTTTGCCTACTACCATGGCCTTCTGGGGAACAGGTATGGGGGAGGGGCTGTTGGGCAATCTCTAGGGTGGGTCAGGTCAAACGATCATACATTCATCCTCCAGGCACACGCTATTCCAGATCCTGTCCTGGTTTCTTAGCAGGTAGGGCCTAAGGTTGCCTGGAGTTTGGTGTTAAATCAGGATTTAAAGAGACTAAGAGGGCCAGGAATGTAGGTCAGGTGGTAGAATGCTGAATAAAAATGAGATCAAGGAGCCACGTGTCAGTGGCTTAAACCTGTAATCCTATCTACTTAGGAGGCTGAGATCTGAGGATCACAGTTCAAAGCCAGCCTGGGCAGGAAAGTCTGTGAGACTCTTATCTCCAATAAAAACCACTAAAAAACAGGAAGTGGCATTTTAGCTCAAGCGGTAGAGAGCTTGCCTTGAGCTGAAGAGCTGAGGGACAGCTCCCAGGCCCAGAGTTCAAGCCCCACAACCGACAAATAAATAGTAAAACATTTGGTGAACTACACACCCTGTGATAGCTTTCCTAGACCCCTGGGGTGAGGCCCTGGCTGGGGCGGGAGGAAGGGGGACACTTGCTACACTGCTCACATGGGCTTAAGTGCCTGCTCTGACTTCTCGCAGGCTCTGGTCTTCGCTGCAGACCCACTGCTGCTCTCAGAACAACTGTAACTTCTACGACAACAAAGACCCAGAATGTGTAACTAGTGTAAGTGTCTGCCCCCGCTCTGTCAGCCCTGGACTGGAATCTGAAGACACCCTCCTAGAGGAGTCCTTTTCCTCCCTCATCACCATTATCCTTCGAGCCGGTAACAACACAGCAATGCAGTGTTCTCCGGAAACACCCTAGGAGGAAACGGAGGCCAAGAATGTTTCAAAGTCACAGTGATAGGAAGCAATAATGCTAGGATTGGGCTCAGGTCTGGAAGATTCTTTCCACTGAGCCTGAGTGTCCTTCCCTGTGAAAGAATGGGAGAAAGGTGTCCCAAGGAGGCTGAGGTGTGAGAGCACTGAGCCTTGCAGGGACTCCTGCTTCAGTGGGTGAGGTGTAGACCAGGGATCTGTGTGTGGGGGTGAGGTGTGGACCAGGGATCTGTGTGTAAAGCACGCTGGCGTGTCGTCACAGCTGCAGGAAGTGTCTCGCATCGTGAGCAGCTCTGGCCTCAACATCTACAATCTCTACGCCCCGTGCGCTGGGGGGGTGCCCAGCTCTTTTAGGTAAGTCCTGCAGTGTATCCCTTGGCTCCAACCCCAGCTGGGTGGGGACCCAGCTCCCAGCCCCTCATTTCACTTGTAGGTATGAGGACGGCACACTGGTGGTCCAGGATTTGGGCAACCTCTTCACTCGCATGCCATTCAAGCGCCTGTGGCATCAGGTGTGTGCCATGGCCTGGGCTTCCTCTTCCTTGGAGTGGGGGTGAGGGCAGGTAGACAAGCCGGACCCCTGACCCTGTGTCTGTCTGTGTCTACAGGCATTGCTGCAGCGGTCAGGGGCCCGGGCACGCATGGATCCCCCCTGCACCAACACCACAGCCGCCTCCACCTACCTCAACAACCCCTATGTGCGCAAGGCCCTGCACATCCCCGAGCAACTGCCTCGCTGGGACATGTGCAAGTGAGCTTCAGTGGCCGCTGCTGCTCAGGGTGTGGCAGGCCCCTGGGGCCCAGGGCATCCCCGGCATCCCCAGGGGGTTCTTAAGGTGGGGGAGGGGCAGTATAGATACCAGAATATGAAAATTAACTGTAAGGTAGGACCTCTCTTTCTCTCTCTCTCTCTCTGGTTCTGGGGCTTGAACTCAGGTCCTAGGCACTGCCCCTTGGCTTTTTTGCTCAAGACTGGCCCTCTACCACTTGAGCCACAGCTCTACTTGCAACTTTTTGTTACTTAATTACAGATGAGTCTCACAGACTTCCCTGCCCAGGTTGGCTTTAAACCAGGATCCCCAGATCTCAGCCTCCTGAGTTGCTAGGATTATAGGTGTGAGCCACTGACAACTGACAGAATCTTTCTTGTTGTTGTTGGGAGGGCTATAGCCAAAAAATGTTACAAGTTTCTAAATGAGGATCTGGGAATGCCAGAGATCCAGTTAAGTCCTAGAAAGGCAACATGGCTAAAGGGGGGAGATTTAAACTGTGGTCAGCCTCTGGGGCTAGGAGAGAAGGTCTGAGCTGTTGACTCTTTTTTTCCCTCCTCCTTTTGGGTCTGTGCACATGTTCCTGGCAGCTTGCTGGTGAATTTACAGTACCGCCGACTCTACCAAAGCATGAACTCCCAGTACCTGAAGCTGCTCAGCTCACAGGTGTGTGGGAACCGGGTCCATCAGCGTCTAGAGAGCCTTAGTAGCACAGAGGGGCTGGGGAAGAGGGGAATGACCCCCTTTAGAGCCTCCTCCCCTCCCCCAGCCTTCCCCCTTCCGGAATCAGGGATGCTGAAACTCCTAGAGGTCAAATTCTTTGCCCAAGATCTGTGGTTGGCAGGATTGAGATTAGAATGTGGATTTGTCTCTAGTCCATGCCACTTGGCTGTAGGAGGCCCAGGAATCCGTGTCAGCTAAGGAGCTTTTACAATGAGAAGAGCTAGTAGGTTGTGTCATAAATAGGTGAATGGACATCTAGGGTGGGAAAAGGCATTGTCCTAGTCATGAAGGACCAAGAACAAGTCCTTTTACTAGGCATTGGGCTTCAGCTGCAGTTTTCCTGTCTGTGCTAGCCTATGTTAGCACTCAAGGGGGCTGAGGCAGGAGGATTGAGAGTTCCAGGGCAGCTTGGCCTTACAGAGCCAGACTCTCTCAAAAACATTTTAAAAAGGAGGGGGGAGCCTGGGGAATGTGGCTTAGTGGTAGAGTGCTTGCCTAGCATTCATGAAGCCCTGGGTTCGATTCCTCAGTTCCACATCAACAGAAAAAGCTGCAACTGGTGCTGTGAGTTTAGTAGAGCACTAGCCTTGAGCAAAAGGAGCTCAGGGACAGTGCACAGGCGCTGAGTTCAAGCCCTAGGACTGACAAAACAAAACGTTAAAAAAGAAAAAGTAAAAGAACAAAACTGGGGATGATGGGGAAAAGTTTTAGTGTTCACTGGATAGATAATAAGCAGTTGGAAAATGGGAGAATTTCCTGGCTCATGCTATTTAGCTGGGGCCCCTTAGATTCTCTGAAAGATAGGGCTTGAAAACGGGGGCCAGGTCATCTCAGACATGTCATTTTCCTGCTTACCCTGCTCCAGAAATACCAAATCCTCTTATACAATGGAGATGTGGACATGGCCTGCAACTTCTTAGGGGATGAGTGGTTTGTGGATTCCCTTAACCAGAAGGTAAGACGGGACGGCGTGCCCTGGGGCAGGTGCACCTGGGAGTGATTCTGGTTGGGAGGACAAACCTGGGCAGTAGTTCTGGTCCCTGAGGGGAGGTCCTGTGGGCGGCTGTGAGCGAGGATGATCATGCTGTTAGCTGATGTCTTTCCTGGTGGGGTAGATGGAGGTGCAGCGCCGTCCCTGGCTAGTGGACTATGGGGAGAGTGGGGAGCAGATTGCCGGCTTCGTGAAGGAATTCTCTCACATTACCTTTCTCACCCTCAAGGTAGGGGAGGGTGAGGGATAAGTGGGTGGGAAGGGAAGGGGGGGGAATCCACCCACCCTTACCATCTAAGTTCTTTTTATTCTAGGTTAAGGGCAAGTTTCCTGGGGAAGGGGGGAAGAATAAAGGGTCCGATGGTACAGGATCATAGAGGAAGAGACTGGTGTGGGTTGGCATCTCATAAGCTTTGCTCCCCAGGGTGCTGGACACATGGTCCCCACTGACAAGCCCCGGGCTGCCTTCACCATGTTCTCCCGATTCCTGAACAAGGAGCCGTACTGATAACCAAGGGACCAGTGGAAGCCCCCGCAATGCCTGATCCAGCCCCTCCCACCTCTCCTACTAGGATGGCAATCCTCCTTATGCAAAATGCCCCTGTGGGCCAGAGTGCTCTTCCAGAACTGCTCCCACTTCATTCAGATAGCCGCCTGGGGGCAAGTTAGCACTTTATTCCCAGGCACTGCCGCCCAGGAGGCCTGGCTCCTGCCCTGCTTACAGAATGCCCTTCTGGATACATTGACCCCCATCCCAGGACCCCATAAGAGCTGTCAAGAGAGCGGGGGGGGGGAGTGGACGGACTCTAGACTGACTGATTATGGAATTAAATTGGGTACAGCTTCAAGCCTCATCTTCTCTGTGGCACTAGGGGTTGGAGTGGGCACTATAGGCTCTAGGTGGGGAGATGGAGGGGTTGGGAGGAGTGGCTCCTCTAATGCCAGCTGCCAGAGTGGGGATCAAGAGCTCAGGCAGCTGCTGCGGAGGGCGGAGGGGCGCTGGAGGCGCCAGGGTCCTGGGTGTTAGCAGGCCGGTTCTTGTTGATCACTTCCCGCAGTCCTTTGGCAAAGTGGAGGTCAGCCCCAATGGTGAGGAAGCCCTGAGTAAGGGGACAGACAGTCTCACTCACTCATTCCGTATTGAGACAGACAGAGCCCTTGGCCTTGGGCGGTCAGCTAGTGCAGGAGACAAAGCAGAAAGGCAGTTCCCATAGCTCCATAGCAAGGATGTTAGGTGGAGGCTGCAGAAGCCACCTGTGCGTCACGTGGCACTCAGGAGGCAGACCCGGCAGTTAAGACATGACAGCTTAGTTGGGGAGGGATGGAGAAGTGTTCCTAGGAGAAGGCACCCCTGGGAAAAGGCTGAAGGAGTCTGGTGTAAGATTAAAGTATGGGAAGCATAGTTCAAGGGGTAGAGTGCTTGATGCTAATGTAAAGCCCAGGGTTCAGCCTTCAGTACCACCAAAAAGAAGAAAAAAAGAAGCTGGAGGGGGCATTGGTGAGTAGGTCAGAGATGGGGGCCTCAGAAGGTTCTTGGGAACAAGACCTGTGATCCTAGCTATTCAGGTGGCTGACATATGAGCATCAGGATTCAAAGCCAGTCCCAGCCGAAGAGTACCTTCAAGTAACCAACAATAAACCTAGCAGTGGAGCTGTGGCTCAAGAGGTAGAGTACCAGCCGATGCACTCCGTGTGTGTATCACACCCATGAGAACCCTCTAGAGAGCTATTGGGAGAGAAACCCCCTGCCTCCCCCCCCCACACACACACACTTCCAGCCTTGATTCCACTCACTGCGTGATTTGTCACCACCTCCCGTACGAAATCGATGCCATCTGGTAGAGGAATCTGCACCCCACGCCAGATCCGCTCTGCGGGTGGGAGGGGCTGGCTCAGTCTGGCGCCCCATGATCACCCTCTGTCTCCCTCCCTGCTCACACAGCCCTACCATTGATCATGGGCATCACCCCGATCTGCAGCAGGGTCTTCAGAGGGGCCTGCAGTGGGATCAGCTGCAAGGGAAGAGAGGGGCACACAGGGCAGCGCATGGGCGAGGCTGGCCTACATGAGGCTTGCCACCCACACAGACTGGCTCAGCCCCAATCCCACCATGCTCAACTTACAGCCAGTGACTCCAGCGCAGACTGGTTCGAGTAGATTTGGAACCTGTGGAAGAGAAACAGCTTATGGCTGGAGGCCCTACCCAGACCTACCCACCAGAGGTCCCAGGTTTCTGTACCATAGCACCTGCCTGTGTACCTCCTATGATATGCACATCCTTGAGCCAGTCAGTCCCCCCTCAGGTGTCCTGATCAAATCATCTTTTTGTTTTTTGATTCAGTACTTTTCTATATGCCAAGCTGCCAGCTGCCAGCTCTGAAGGTGTGTATTTAACACAGTTCACAATACTGTCAGATTCTAAGGTCCGTCGTAAAGTTAAATATTGACTCAGGCTCATTCCATGTCTTAGCTATTGTGTAAAAGCAATAAACATGGACATGCAAGTTAAAAAGAAAAAAGTTGTTGGGCACTGGTGGCTCATGTTTGTGATTCTAGCTTCTCTGGAGGCTGAGATGTGAGGATCATGGTTCAAAGCCAGCCTGAGCAGGAAAGTCCATGAAGTTCTTCAATTAACAACCAGAAAACCGGAAGTGGTACTGTGGCTCAAGTGGTAGAGTGCTATCCTTGAGCTGAAGAGCTGAGGGACAGCGCCCAGGCCCAGAATTAAAGCCCTACAACAGCCAAAAACTAAAAAAAAAAAAAAAAAAAAGCTAAAAGGGCTGGGAAGGTGGCTCTGTGGTAGAGTGCTTGCCTTGTATGCATGAGGCCCTGGGTTTGATTCCTCAGCACCACATAAACAGAAAGCCAGAAGTGGTACTGTGACTCAAATGGTAGAGTAGAATGTCAGCTTTGGGCAAACAAGCTAAATGAGAGCATGATGCACTGAGTTTGTTTATGTTTGGCGGGGGGGTGTTTGAACTCAGGACCTGGGCACAGTCCTGAGCTTTTTTTTTTTTTTTTTTTTTAACCAAGGCGAGCACTTTACCACTCTGAGCCACAGTGTCACTTCCCATTTTCTGGTGGTTTATTGGAGATAAGAGTCTCACAGACTTTCCTACCTAGGCTGGCTTTAAACCATGATCCTCAGATCTTAGTCTCCAGAGTAGCTAGGATTACAGGCATGAGTCACATGCCCTGTGGAACATACTTTAAAGAAAAGAAATATGAGGTCCAGAGAAGTGAAGCAATTTGCCTAAGGTCAACACAACTTTGTGTGTGTGTGTGCATGTGCGTGTGTGTGTGTGCCAGTCCTAGCTTCTTAGGGCCTGAGCACTGTCCTTTAGCTTTTTTGCTCAAGGCTAGTACTCTACCACTTGAGCCACAGCTGCACTTCTGGCTTTTTGGTTAACTGGAGTTAAAATTCTCACAGATTTTCCTGTCCAAGCTGGCTTTGAACCTTGACTCTCAGATGTCGGTCTCCTGAGTAGCTAGGTTTATAGGTGTGAGCCACCAGCACCAGGCAACACAGCTATTTTTAGTATCAGGACCTCCTACCTGCTGTTTCCATTAGCCCCCAAGAACATCATTGACAATTGATTTCTGGGGAATGTTCTGTATCTGCCCTGCTCACCAGCCATACATGGTAAGGAAATGTGAATTCATGAAACTGAGGAACTATTAAGGGTTCACCTCTCCTCCCCACTCCCCTGCCCAGGACAGCACAGCCCTAGAAAGGAGATCTATTTGTATCTGTGGAGGGGGATGGGGGTTGGGGGAGGGTGAGCCTTACAAATATAACTTGCTGATTTAAGGTTACAAAGCCATTGTGCTCGTCTATGACTTGCTTCGCCTGCCTCTAGCAGCAGGGGAGAATCCAGAGTTGCTGCTATGTTTTTTGAACATACTGGGGATTGACCTCGAACTATACCACTGGAGCCACATCCCAGTCTAGGAGTTATTTTAAGAAAACACTTTTTTGATGGCTCAAGTTTCTAATCCTAGCTACTCAGTAGAGGCCAAGGAAGGGTCAAGGCTGAAGGCCAACTTCTACCAAAAAAAAAAAATCACAAGATCCCATCTCCACCAATAAAAGCTGACAGGGCGGGGTTTGCCTAACCTAGCTATAGGGGAAGCATAAATAGCAAGACCAATAGCTGAGTATGGAAATAAACATAAGGAAAATATTTGCCAGGCACTCGTGGCTCACACCTGTAATCCTAACTCCTCAGGGGGCAAAGGATCAAAGGTAGAAGCCAGCCGGGGCAGGGAACTATGAGGCTTGAATTACCAAGAATTAATCACCAAAAGTGGGGCTATGGCTCAAGTGGTAGAGTACCAGCTAAGGAGCAGTGCCTAGGCCCTATACTGGAACACATGCACGCATGCACACGTGCGTGTGCGCGCGCACGTGTGCACACACACACACCACAAATCCCTAAAACAAAGCTAGGCGCCAATAACTCATACCTGCATTCCTAGCTACTCAGGAAACTGAGGATTGTGGTTCAAAGCCAGCCAGGAAAGTTCATAAGATTCTCCAATTAATTATCCAAAAAACCAGAAGTGACTTAAATGGTAGAGCCAGACTTGAGCACAAAAGCTCTGGGACAATGCCCAGGCCCTGAGTTCAAGCCCCAGGTCTAACACGCACATGCAAAATATCTAAACTAAAGAGGTTCTGGGGCATGGCTCAAATGATAGAAGATCTATGAGATCCTGAGTTCAAATCCTAATACTTCCTTTTCTTTCTTTTTTTTTGGTCCGGTCGTGGGGCCTGAACTCTGGGCCTGGGCGCTGTCCCTCAGCTCTTCAGCTCAAGGCTAGTGCCCTACCACTTGAGCCATAGCGCCACTTCCGGCTTTTTTCTTTTTGCTTATGTGGTGCTGGGGAATCGAACCCAGGGCCTCAGGCATACAAGGCAAGCACTCTACCACTGAGCCACCTTCCCAGCCCTAAATCCTAATACTTCCTAATGAAACAAAAAACACTTTTCTTTTTTTCGTCAGTTGCTTGGCTTGACCTCTGGGCCTGAGTGCTGTCCCTGAGCTCTTTGGCTCAAGACGAACACTCTACCACTTGAGCCACAGAGCCAATTCTGGTTTTCTGGTGGTTAATTAGAAATGTCTCATGGACTTTCCTGCCCAAGCTGGCTTTGAACCACGATCCTCAGATCTCAGCCTCTTGAGTAGCTAGGATGACAGGAGTGAGCCACCAGTGCCCAGCTCAAAATACGTTTTTATGTATTAATAAAGACAGATTCTAGCTCACCAGGACTTGCAGGTCTGACTCAATGTTAACTCCACTGTTCCATTGGATAGGTGTGCTCATTATCCTAAACACTTTAAGGCAAAGGGAAGTTAAGGGCCTGACCAGAAGTCCAACCCATCTGCGTACTTTCGCAAGTCCAGCTTCGTGCGCAGCGCCTTGCTCCGGAGTGCCATCTTGGCGCTGAGTCGAGCTTCCTGCAAGGAAGGGAAGAGGGGAACATCAAGGTCCACAACCACTTCTCAGTGATTCCCCTTTAATGCCCTCACTCCAGGACCGCACCATGATCATGGTGGACAGCGGGACTTCAGGCAGGTTGGGTGGAACCAAGGCGATGGTGACACTGGCAGTGACAGAGACCGTGGTGCCCGAGGGCTTGATGGTACAGCGTGGGGGGACCACGGCGCGCAGCTCCAACTTCAGCGGGGAGTCAATCACTGCAGGGCTCTGGGGACGGAGCAAAGAGGGCTAGTCACAGCTCTAATCTCTTCCCTAGTGGGCAGTGGAAGACTACAGGTTATAAGTATCAAGACTTGTATAGCTTCGTATACCTCAAAAAACAACAACAACAACAGAAATGGTTCAAATGGTAGAGCCAGACTTGAGCACAAAAGCTCTGGGATAGTGCCCAAGTCCTGAGTTCAAGCCCCAGGACTAGCACACCCATACAAAATTCCTAAACCAAAGAGGTTTGGGGCATGGCTCAAGTGATAGAATATCTATGAGATCCTGAGTTCAAATCCTAATACTGGGCTGGGAAGGTGACTCAGTGGTAGAGTGCTTGCCTTGCATGCATGAGGCCTGGGTTCAATTCCTCAGCACCACATAGGCAGAAAGAAAAAAGCTGAAAGTAGCACTGTGGCTCAAGTGGTAGAGCACTAGCCTTGAGCTGAAGAGCTGAGGGACATCCCCATCCACTGCCCATAGACAACTTTGTCATTTTTTTTGTTGGTTTTTTTGCCAGTCCCAGGGCTTGAACTCAGGGCTTGTACACTGTCTCTGAGCTTCTTTTGCTCAAGGCTAGCACTCTGCCACTTGAGCCACAATGCCACTTCTTGCTTTTTCTGTTTATGTGGTACTGAGGAATCAAACCCAGGGCTTCATGCATGCTAAGCAAGCACTCTCCCACTAGGCCATGTTTCCAGCCCCCTTTGTCATGTTAATATCCCAGCTACTTGCCACCTCCTCTCTTAGCTGTGAGGGCATTTCTTCTAAGAGCCAGGTAGAATCCTATTAAATTTAAATGCTAACTCAGCATCAAACAGGATTCTGAATGCTGACTATGTATTAGCTCATTGAAGTCTCACAACAATCATCTGAGCCATCTATTTTTATTACTATTATCATTATTACTATTACTATTGTGATTTTATTTTATTATTATCCTCTTCCTTTATTTATATTTTTTGTCTGTCAGGGGGCTTGAACTCAGGCGTGAGGTTTTTTTTTTCCAGTCATGAGGCCTGAACTCTGGGCCTGGGCACTGTCCATCAGCTCTTCAGCTCAAGGCTAGCACTCTACCACTTGAGCCTCAGCCCCACTTCCGGCTTTTTCTGCTTATGTGGTGCTGAGGAATCGAACCCAGGGCCTCATGCATGCAAGTCAAGCACTCTACCACTGAGCCACCTTCCCAGCCAGGTGTGAGCTTTTTCACTCAAGACTAGCACTCTACCACTTTGAGCCACAGCACCATTTCCAATTTTCTGATGGTTAATTGGAGATAAGAGTCTCACAGACTTTCCTGCTGACTTTGAATCACAATCCTCAGATCTCAGTCCCCTGAGCAGCTAGGATTACAAGCATAAGGCACTGGCACCCAGCTATTGTCCTCATTTTGGAGGTAGTAAGTTGTGGCAAAGACAGGCTCTGTAGTCAGTTGCAGGACTGAGAGTTGAACTCAGACACTGTGTCACAGAAATCACACTCTTGACTGCTTGACCACAAACCAGGTGATGATGATGACAGTAATAACAGTAATAATGTTTATTGAGCCCTTACTCCATATCAGGTACTGCGCTAATTATACCTATTAAATCATTTACTCTTCATGACAGCCTTGTGACTTTGTATAGTGGAGGCCAGTGTGACCTAGAGTCACATAAATTCCAATACAGGTTCAGGTCCCAGCTCTATCATTACCAAGGTGAACCAAGAGTGAGTATGTTAATCATAACTCATTTTTCTTTCTTTTTTCCTTTTCTTCCTCCTTCCCTCACCCCCCCCCCAACCCTCAGACTGGGATTTGAACTTAGGTTCTCACAATTGCTTGGCTTGTTTGCTTAACTGGCACTCTATGACTTGAACCATTTCTCCAGCCCAGCTTTTTGTTAGTTATTTTGCCCAACTTTCTTCTATCTGGGCTGACTTCAAACTATGATCCTTGGGATCGCAACCTTTTGGGAAGGTAGGATTGCAGGCACGAGCCATTAATACTATGCTTCAGGTATTTCTTTTACATTTTTTGTGGTGCTAGGACAGAATCCACGCTTGCACATCCTAGGCAAGCATTCCACCACTGACCTATATATCCCCAACCTGCTTTTAGAATTGTTAACTATCACCCCCTGCCCTTCAAACAAGGGGAAATTAAAGAACATGTCATCATCTCATCCCTGCAAGGCTTGTGTTCTCTGGAATCCTCAGAACAGCTCTGTGAAGGAGGCAGGGCAGAAGTGGGAACCCCTCCATCCCCAGGATTGGCAAGGTGAGGGACCAGACCACAGGCAGTGGCCGGGTTTGTGTCTCCTCCGTGGCCCTCACTGGGGCCCTCCACCTGTTTCCTTCCTTCCTAGTTCCCCAACCCTAACCACAGCCCTACCTCTGGCCAGTGCTCACCAGGAGTACAATGCTTCCAAAGTACGAGGCCCTCAGCAGCATGTCCAGGTCATGTGGCACCTGGACAGGAGAACCAGAATCAGGCAGGATCACAGGGAGCCCCCCTACGGCCCCCTTTGGCCCCTGCGCACAGCCAGGCTCTAGCATACCTTGTTCCCCACCAGTGTTAGCTTCAGGGCCCCCGCCCGGAAGTAGCTTTCCATGGCAGAGTCGAAAAAGAACTCAGAGAAGGCCACATACACCATCCGGTCTGTCTCCTGAAGCTGGGGCTCCACCGCCTGGTTGGGGCTGCTCCAGTTCCCTTCAGCGAGGGGGAAGAATGACCCCTGCGATTGAGGGATCAGGGTTAGAGTCAAAGCAGACTGATGGGGGACTCTGGGGAGTCAGACACAGCTTTCCTGGGGGGCACTGAAAGAGGATGGGGTTGTTATAGGGAGTACCCTATCCACCTGGAGAAGAGAGGACCAGGAAAGGTGTCGAGGGCAGGAGAGGGGACATTTGAATAAGCCCTGGAAGCTAGATGGCAGTAATGACAGCTCCTGCTGATATGGGCCAGGCACTTTCAGCCTCTTTACTAGGACAACTCTTCTAGTCTACATAAGGGCCCAGGGAGACACACACGGCCTCCTCACGAAGAAATGGGTATGGAAAAGTGAAGGTCATGATGCTTGTTGGTGGCAGGACTGGATTTGAACTTCAGACATTCCTGATCTAGAGTCCATGCTCTGAAATTCTCTGCTACCTTCTACTGTGGGGAGGGGAGGCAAAGACAGTGGCTATATACTAGTTATGCAGCCTCAGGCAACTAATATTGCCCTTCTGAGCAAATCTTCACAGCCCTGAAATTAGGATAGTTAGCTGTCCGTATCTACAGATTCAACCATTGTGTGTGTGGGGGAAACGGGATGACAATATGGCATCTGTATTAAGTGTGTACAAACATTTTTTTTCTTGTCATTACCTAAGTAGCCCAGCGTAACTACAATTTATGTAGTATTTGCATTGGATTAGGTGTTGTAAGTCATCTGAAAATGATTTAAAACCCATTTATACAATTAATATGCACTAATATAGTAAAGGACTGTATAAGCTACGTGTGTGTGTGTGTGTGTGTGTGTGTCTGTGTGTGTGTGCTGAACCTGGGGCTTGAATTCAGGGAATGGGCACTGTCCTTGAGCCTTTTTACTTAAAGCTAGTGTACTGCTGTTTGAGCCACAGTTCCATTTCCAGCTTTTTGCTGGTTGAGAGAAGAGTCTCATGGATTTTTCCTGCCCAGGCTGGATTCAAACCACAGTCCTCAGATTTTAGCCTCCTGAGTAGCTAAGATTACAGATGGGAGCTACTGGTGCCCAGCTTCTTGTAGAGACATATATATATATACACACACACACATATATATATACATATATATGTATATGTGTATGTATATATACATATATATACACACATATACACTTATACATATATACACACTACACACACACACACACACATATATTTATTTTATTTTTTTTTTGTCAGTTGTGGGTGCTGTCCCTTGGCTCTTCAGCTCAAGGCTAGCACTCTACCACTTGAGCCACAGCACCACTTGAGCTTTTTTTCTGCTTATGTGGTGGTGAGGAATCAAACCCAGGGCCTCATGCATACAAGACAAGCATTCTACCATTGGGCCACCTTCCCAGCCCCTTATATTATCTTAAAAAAAAAAAAAAAAGTAACTCATAGCTGGATAGCTGGGTGTCAGTAGCTCCCACCTGTAATCCTAGCTACTTGGGAGGCTGAGATCTGATCTCAATTTATTTATTTATTTATTGCCAGTCCTGGGACTTGAACTCAGGTCCTGGGCACTGTGCCTGAGCTTCTTTTGCTCAAGGCTAGCACTCTACCATTTGAGCCACAGCACCACTTCTGGCTTCTTCTGTTTATGTGGTACTGAGGAACCAAACCCAGGGCCTCATGCCTGCTAGGCAAGCACTCTACCACTATGCCACTTCCCAACCCAGAACCTCATAAAACTCTTATCTCCAATTAACCACAAGAAACCTGGAAGTGGGGGGCTGGGAAGGTGGCTCAGTGGTAGAGTGCTTGCCTTGCATGCTCGAGGCCCTGGGTTCGATTCCTCAGCACCACATAAGAAAAAAGCCGGAAGTGGTGCTGTGGCTCAAGTGGTAGAGCGCTCGCCTTGAGCTGAAGAGCTGAGGGACAGCGCCCAGGCCCAGAGTTCAGGCCCCACGACCGGACCCAAAAAAAAAAAAAAAGAAAGAAACCTGGAAGTGGCTCTGTGTTTCACAGAAGTAAAGGGATAGCCTTGAGCAAAGGAGTTCAAAGATAGCACCTAGGCCCTGAGTTCAAGCCCCATGACTACCACTGCCCCCCACCAAAAAAAAGGAAGGTAGAGCCCGACACTATGAACAAGGAGGTTTAACCTCAGTTTGTGGCAATAGGGAACCACAGCATTCCTAATAGTAAGAGCTGCCCTAAAGAGAAAAAAAAAAAATCACATAGAGGAAGAGTGAGTCTGGCTAGGAGGTCAGAGATTATGCACACACCAAACCCAGCAGCTCACCCGGAATTCCATGTCTAGGTTGCTGGTGGAAACCACAGGATCCTTCAGGAGGAAGTAGTCAATGCCAACGAGCTCATCCACAGAACTGCGCACTGCGGGAGGGGCTTCGGTCACTCAAAGCTGTGTGATGTTAGTCAAGCTGCTTAACCTCTCTGGGTCTCTCATTCATAAAATGTAGATACTCATCTCATGAGGGTTCTCATGAGGATCAATAGTTGTATGTCAAAAACACTCAGTGCCTTTTATGTAGCAAGTGTTCAACAAAGAAGCTATCGTCATCATTTTTTTTGGGGGGGGGGGTCTGGTCATGGGGCCTGAACTCTGGGCCTGGGCGCTGTCCCTCAGCTCTTCAGCTCAAGGCTAGTGCTCTACCACTTGAGCCACAGCGCCACTTCCGACTTTTTTCTTTTTGCTTATGTGGTGCTGAGGAATCGAACCCAGGGCCTCATGCATGCAAGGCAAGCACTCTACCACCTTCCCAGCCCTCATCATCATTATTTTTAATTACTATTACTTCTACAGAGTATCATCAAATCATTAAACAAGATGGCAAAGGAATTATTTCCTTTCTTGGTCTTTCCTTGCTGTTTATTCCCTTCCAATGCCTTGTGTGCTCGATGTCTTTGAAAGGATAAGATCTCTGCCCACAAGTGGCAGAGATGATAGCTTAGGAAAAATGTGTCCAATTATCAGCAGGCATATATTGGGATCCTGACTGCCACCAGGGCAAAGCATTGAGAACCAAGCAAGGAAATCAGAGAAAAGTAAGCACTTACCTAAGGTCACACAGCAACACATTTGAGTCCAGGACCATCCCACAGCTGGCTTGGGAAGGGCCTGACTCGGAGATGCTATGAGACAGCTGCAAATCCTGCCTCTCCTCCTACCCCACCCCCAACTCCAGCCTGGCCCAGCCAGCATCAACGCACCAGGCACCGTGTCCAAGAGGGAGTTGAGTAGAACCATTCCTGAATGGTAGAGCACCGGGCAGATCTGGGAGGTAAGGCTAGAATCAGGGCCTTCTCAACAGGAGAGCCCCCCACCACACACACACACACACTGTTCCCTCCTTACCCTCCCTTCCCTCATGCATCCCATACCTGCTGGTTGAGGAGGAAGCGCATCCCAGAAGTGATGAACGTGGAGAGAAATTCATACACTTTCCTGGGCAGAGAGGAAAGGCTGGGTGAGCCCAGCCCATTGCCCACCCCACCCTGTCCCCACTCCAAGCCAGGTCCAGGAGCAATGACAGTGACCAGAGAAACTATGGTACCAGGGACTCCCCAGCTCCATCCTAAATTCCCAGCTCTTCCCTTCTCTAGCCCCAAACCGGATGCTGAAGACTGCCATACCTTCTTCCACCAAATGAATCCACACTTACTTTCTCACAGGTATTGTGATTGATGTCTCCCACCTTCAGTTCGTACCGTGTGTGTGTGTGTGTGTGTGTGTGTGTGTATGTGTGTGCACGCGCGTGCGTGCGCGTGCACCTGCCAGTTCTGGAGTTAGAATTCAGAGCCTGGGTGCTGTCGCTGAGCTTTCATGCTCCAGTCTAGCACTCACCAGTTGAGCCACAGCTCCATGTCCAGATTTTTGGTGGTTAATTGGAGATAAGGCTCATGGGCTGTCTTGCCTGGGCTGGCTTCAAACCATGATCCTCAGAGCTCAACCTCCGGAGTAGCTGGGATTACAGGTGTGCGCCACCAGTGCCCAGCTTCAATCCATAACCTTACTGATGCCCACTCCTCCACTGGTGCCTGTGTCCTGTGTTCTCCTGGTGGGGCTCAGATGCTTCCTCTTCCAGGTGGTCTTCCTAGTGCATGGCCAACTATGCACACTGATCCTTAGCTATTCTACTCTATTCTATCCTATAATATGGATAGACATTTATCATATACAGGTATTATTGTGAATGTTTTACAAATACAATCCTCATAATGAGGTTTATTTATTTATTTAGTCAACTGTGAGGCTTGAACTCAGGGCCTGTGTGCTACCCTGAGCTCTTCAGCTTAAGGTAAGCACTCTACCACTTTGAGCCCCAGCGCTACTTCTGGTTTTCTGGTCCCGTGGACTTTCCTGCCTGGGCTGACTTTAAACTGTGATCCTCAGATCTCAGCCTTCTGAGTAGCTAGGCTTACCGGCGTGAGCCACCAGCACCCAGCTCTAATTTTTTTTTTTAATTTTGTCTTCATTTTCCTCACAATCTTGTATAAAACAGGTTCTATTCCATCCCCTTTTTACCAATGAGGAAATGGACTTGCTTGGGCTACCAAGCCTTGCACTTGGTGTCATACGTGGAAATGGAGATGCGAGGCTCAAAAGGGTGTACTGGGGCTAGGACTTACCTGAAGGTTCCCCCGAAGGCCACATGCATTTTGGAGACGGAGGCCTGGCAGGAGACATTGGACACTTTCATCCGGCCACTGGGGTCCTGGGAGAGCTGCAGTCCTGTGTGGATGAACACACCTTCTGCCGAGGCGTTGATGTAACCCCCATCATATCTGCCAAAGGAGGTTAATGCTCTAGCCCATTCTAGCTGGGAAGTGAGCTGCCACTCACTGCTGCTGTCCTGGCTCCTGTACTTCCTGATACCTTTTTGTTGTTGTTGAGAGGTTTTTGTTTTGTGTGTGTGTGCGCGCTGGTACTGGGGCTTGAACTCAGGGCCTGGGTGCTGTTTATGAGCTTTGGTGCTCAAGGTTAGCACTCTATCCATTGAGCCACAAACTCCTCTTCTGGCTTTTTTTGGTGGTTAACTGAGGGGCTGGGAAGGTGACTCAGTGGTAGAGGACTTGCTTTGCATGCATGAGGCCCTGGGTTCAATTCCTCAGCACCATATAGGCAGAAAAAGCTGGAAGTGGCGCTGTGGCTCAAGTAATAGAGCACTAGCCTTGAGCTGAAGAGCTGAGGGACAGCGCCCAGGCCCAGAGTTCAGGTCCTATGACCAAAAAAATTAATTAATTAATTAATTTTTAAAAAAAAGAGTCTCACTGACTTTCCTGCCATGGCTGGCTTCAAACTGTGATCCTCAGATCTTAGTCTCCTCTGTAGCTAGGATTACAGGCATGAATTACTGGCACCGGGCTTCTTGTTGATTTTTGAGACAGAGTCTCACTATGTAGCTCAAGCTAGCCTAGAACTTGAGATACTTATGTTTCAACCTCTAGAGTGCTGGGATTATAGGCACGTATCACCCATCAGGATTAAGATTATATCTCTTGGGCTGGGAATGCGGCTTAGTGGTAGAGAGTGCTTGCCTAGCATGCATGAAGCATTGGATTCAATTCCTCAGTACCACATACACAGAAAAAGAAGCTTAGAAGTGGTGCTGTGGCTCAAGTGGTAGAATGCTAAGCCTTGAAAAAAGAAGCTCAGGGACAGTGCCCCAGGACTGGAAAAAAAAAAAGGTTTACCTCTTAATAGGCTACCTTTCTGAAGTTTACCGACACCCACCAAACACTCCTACTGATCCTTAAGATGTGAGTATAGTTGACACTAGTTTAAGGATGGAGAAAACGGAACTCAGAAAAACTAGAGACTGCCCCTACTCGGCCTTGTCATCCCACCCTCCTCTCCCCTGCAAGTGCCCCATCCTCACAAAAACCAGTAGAGAAGCTGTCTCCGGAAGCGTAATCCCAAGGAGGCATTGGAGATTTGCAGCACCAGCTCCTGCTCAGGCTGGAAATGTAGTTCAGAGGATGTCAGTTGCAGCTCTGTGACTTTCACCCTGTGGGAAGCCCCTGGATCAGATCCAGGATCAAGAGGAGGGGACCCCACACAACCCCCAGGGAACTCATTCCCTCCCCTTCCAGCTCAAGCTGGGGAAGCTGGGGTGGGTGGAATGGAAACTCTTCCATTGTCCTCCAGTGTCCAACTTAGACGTGGGTGGCTCAGAAACTAAGGTTTCTGCTGGGCACAGGTGGCTCACGCCTGTCATCCTAGCTACTCAGTAGAGGCCAAGGAAGGGTCAAGGCTGAAGGCCAACTTCTACCAAAAAAAAAATCACAAGATCCCATCTCCACCAATAAAAGCTGACAGGGCGGGGTTTGCCTAACCTAGCTATAGGGGAAGCATAAATAGCAAGACCAATAGCTGAGTATGGAAATAAACATAAGGAAAATATTTGCCAGGCACTCGTGGCTCACACCTGTAATCCTAACTCCTCAGGGGGCAAAGGATCAAAGGTAGAAGCCAGCCGGGGCAGGGAACTATGAGGCTTGAATTACCAAGAATTAATCACCAAAAGTGGGGCTATGGCTCAAGTGGTAGAGTACCAGCTAAGGAGCAGTGCCTAGGCCCTATACTGGAACACATGCACGCATGCACACGTGCGTGTGCGCGCGCACGTGTGCACACACACACACCACAAATCCCTAAAACAAAGCTAGGCGCCAATAACTCATACCTGCATTCCTAGCTACTCAGGAAACTGAGGATTGTGGTTCAAAGCCAGCCAGGAAAGTTCATAAGATTCTCCAATTAATTATCCAAAAAACCAGAAGTGACTTAAATGGTAGAGCCAGACTTGAGCACAAAAGCTCTGGGACAATGCCCAGGCCCTGAGTTCAAGCCCCAGGTCTAACACGCACATGCAAAATATCTAAACTAAAGAGGTTCTGGGGCATGGCTCAAATGATAGAAGATCTATGAGATCCTGAGTTCAAATCCTAATACTTCCTTTTCTTTCTTTTTTTTTGGTCCGGTCGTGGGGCCTGAACTCTGGGCCTGGGCGCTGTCCCTCAGCTCTTCAGCTCAAGGCTAGTGCCCTACCACTTGAGCCATAGCGCCACTTCCGGCTTT